CTGGTGTTTCCACTATATGAAATGGATAATACCAGAGACAATCCAGCGAGACGTGTAACTCAATGTATTTTTTTTGTTCGGTAAAAGTTATTTGGGCGATTGTAACCACAACCAGTCTATGATGGCGCCACTAGTAAATAGCGGGAAAATTAAAAATGCTTTAGGGCGGGAAATTCAAACATGGATTCAGAAATAAAGTTTTTCTATACACATTTACAGGAGAAACAAAAACTATTGTTTCACTGTATATTAAAAAAATATAAAAGCTTCCACTAACATCAAATTTTTTATCACATAAATAATCATTTTAATAAAGGAAGTTTTAATCAGTTTAATATAAACAGTGAACATAGTTTTTATTACTCTTGTAAATTTCGCTAAAAAAAACATTGAAAATTCTATTGATTAGTAAATATTTAAACTTGGAAAAATAATACACCAAACTCTTTTTCTATAAATTATATTTTTGTAAGGTACATAAAAACAAACTACAATTGCTTCGTTTAGAAAGTACCTCCTATCATTTTGTGACAAATTACAAAGAAAGTAACAGTTGTTATATATTCATAATATATTTAAAAACTAATGTAACAAATATTTTATAAAGTATAGTATCGATACCTTTTTGCCAGACTATCATAAGTGCCATTTGAACAAATGTCACGTATGTTAGTCTGGCAAAAAAGAATGGATATGTTATGACTGTTTATTTTAATAGAAAGCATGGAAACGAAACACACATACACTCAACACAAATGTATAAGGCTCAAGTCAAGTAAGTTCCCATCCTGTAAACTGTATCGAAACCTGTTAGACCCCTGCTAACTCCTCTTATAGTAATCAAGATCAATATATTTATATGCCATGCCTTCTAAAAGGGAATGAAGGATGACATACTATCATCATTTAAACAGGACGTTGCTGAAGGCTTACCCCTGTTATTTCGTTTGTTTGTGTATCTTGTGTGTGTGCATTCCTGTTGTGTCCCCAGTCATGTAAAAGTTTTCCTAGTCTCCTAATTTGGTTACTAGGTGGACCTTCTCCAACTAGTAGTCTAATCTATTCTATCTGTTCGGAAGCAGGAGGTACTTTTCAAACATAGCAAATAACATTATTAATAACAAACACTATTTAAAGATAAATACATTTTTGTAATTTTTTTGTCATTGCCCCTTACCTTTCTCTTACACCACCAGGGTATACCTATTTTCCATATTTCCTTAATTATAGATTACCTTACAATGTTCGAATGAATATAACATTTTACTCTAATTTCATATTTAACTCTTTTTCAATTTCATTTGAAACAATAATTGGTACCTATATTACAATTTATTATCAAAGAAAATTTCTAATAAAGTTATAGCAAATCCTACTTAAACTACTGGTTGTTCTGCAGGATAAATTAACTTTTCTTGAGATTGATGTCTCTATAAAATCCAAAACCGACCTGATGTCCCCAAATTTATTTTCCAATGCATCCTGATTTAAAATTCTGCCCTTTTGTGATTCAATTTTTGTTTTCTTCCTTTAGAGTGGCTGTTAGAGGTAGGTGTATGTAAGAAATAGCTAATCTCTAATCATTTCAAAAGTCCTTTGCCAATACTACATGTGCAGATTTTTTACTCAGCATACATTTTACTTTTCTAGTAGCTAGGAACTTTGTGCTGCCATTAAAGCTGTCCAGATATTCATCTACCTACTTAATGAACACAAGTAGTTGTAACAATGGATTTCTGTTCCAATTCACCTAAAATAATTATAGTCATTGTGTAATATATTATTAAACACACACATTATACAGTGGTTTTCTTAATAAATTGGAAATTACTTACCTCTAGAAAGAAATGTGTACAAAAACGCGAGTTTGGTTCCAGAAATTGCTTCATGCAAAAAATAATATGCAAAAATAAACATGCCCCCCCAAAGAAAATTAATTAAACAACAAAATCAGACTAAAAGAAATAAACGGGGCCCAAATTAGGCATTCCAAACTGAATGGCTACCAGTGGGTTTTGACGGGTTATGATATAGCAAAATTATGGCAACCCTGTAGGCCTGGTGATTTGACAAGGTCAATGAAATAGATAGTTACATAGATTGATCATCCATATTTTTCAAAATAAACATAAGCTTATGCCTTGAAGTAAAAATGTAAGCAATTCTTTTTTTTTTAATCTCTAAAGGCTAAAAATTAGTTTTAAAACACATTTTTTCTAAACCGATTCAAATTAATAAATATTTGCCAGGCAATATGGCCGCTCGTAAACGACCAGCTTTGAGCAATCTATATAACTATATATGTATCATTGACCCTGTTAATGTCAACATGACAACAGGGTTGCCATATCTAAACTGTCATTACCCACTGGTAGCCATTTGGACAGGTCGTTGGAATGCCTAATTAAATTAATTTTAATAAAATGCACATGTTCATAACAACATTCATAACATTGTCAGTTGTCAGTTTTAATACTTTTAATCGATATTTCTACGTCAAAAAACCAGCAACACCAGCGCCCTCTGAAAATGGTGTTAGTTTTATTGGAGAGAGATAGACATATGTAAAGATCAATGTAAAAGAAAAAGAGGGTCATATATGTAATTTAAATGGACCACCGAACATATTTTCCTATTAAGTTACACGTCTCTGTTGTCTCTGATAATACTGATCATTATAATATTATTGATCTTAATTACTTAAGTCCTTGCTTTACTAACGAGCCAACTTTAGGGCTTACGCCACTGTCGTAATTGGCGCTCAACTGCCACAGTTAATTGAATTGTTTCAATGTCAGTGTTACCTGTTCCTTCAACATATTCGAAAGTGATTGGAATTAATTAAATGAATATGCGATTGTGTGTGTGGGATAGGCAGTAAAGATATTTTTTTTAGTATTAATAGAAAAATGTTGGCCAGATGTGGGCTAAATTTATGTCGATTTTTGTCGCTTTCTACTAAACAGATGACTGTACCGATAATGTAGGTGAACTTATGGGAATATTAAGCGATTATTGAAGCATATTATTAAGAAAAAATCCGTTGTGATTGCCAGTATTTGTATGCGTGAATTGTCAACTACACGGAGTGCGTATAACAGGTATAAAAACCGGCTGAAACAACAAATTCGATCCCATAGCAACCTAGACTGTCAATATATGTCACTCTAAAATCAAATTCACAATCATCTTAGAATTCTCCGTAAAATTCCGATTTTATAACATTTGAAAAATTGGAAGATCAAAGTTTGAAAGAAAAAAGCGACGTTGCCAATTCGAAACAAAAAATCAGAAATACAAAGAAATTCTATGAATTTTTTTGTTTTGTTATACCGAGTATCATAATTTTCAATATTTTGAGGACTTGTATCTTCCGAACCAATTAAGATATCCCGATGCGGTTTTCATTAAAGACTTAAGTTTTATTAGGATATACCAGAAATGAAATTGTAACTTCTGTTTAGAAAAAAGCAAAAAGGCGCCATTTTAAATATCATAATTTAATTTTCTTTAAATTGAACACAATACATTTTTAAAAACCCTATTTTTTATTTATACATCGGTCTCCTTATTTTTAAAATATTTTTGAAAATTACTAGGAAATTAAAACGAATGGAAATGTTTGCAGTATTTGTTCCACAAACGTCAATTAGTAATTTTATGACTCCTGACAAATTATTAGGAGCTTTTCAAATTGTATTGGTCCGTTAATAAATATGTACATGAAGAACGGAAACACATTGAACATTTACTACAATAGACAAGATTGAAATTTATTTTTTTTTATTCCTTATTTCAGTATTTGTTATTGTCCTTTTATAATTTAAAGCTAATAAATTTAAAAAATAAAGCAAGTAATTAACCATGCAAATATTTATTCAAAAGATTTTGAAATTAAGCTATATATACAGTGTGTCTACTTAAGTTGGAACCATATGGAAAACTTTTTTATTATTGGTTTTGTGAAAAAATGTATTTGTGATAAAAAGTTCAGCATGGTTCAAAACTTAAAATTCAACCATCAGATATCAATTTTTTTGAGCTGTATACAAGTTTTGCCAAAAAATATGAATTTTACTCAAGAGTAAAGTACCTTTATGTTTTACAATACCATTACAGCCATTTAACATTAAAAATCAGGTTTGGTGATTAATTAATTTATAACTACAAATAATTTAGAATTTAAAACGAAAATAATCACCTAACCTGAATGTTCATGCAAAATGACTGTAATTTAATAATATTTGAATATAACTTTTAATTCAAAATAACTTTACTTTATAATGTTCTTCTGTATTGTAAAAAATAAAGGTACTTTATTCTTAAGTAAAATTCATATTTTTAGACAAACCTCGAATGCACATTAAATAAATTGATATCTGATGGTTGCATTTTAAGTTTTGGACCATGCAGAACTTTTTACCGATAATACATTTTTTCACAAAACGAATAATAAAAAAGTTTTCCATATGGTTCCAACTTAGGTAGACACACTGTATAAAGTTATATAGATAAAAGGTTTTTTAAAAATGTATTAATATACAGGGTGGACAATTTTATTAAAATAAGATCATGAACTTTAAAATGGCGCCATTTTATTTTTTCTAAACAGAAGTTACAATTTCATTTCCGGTATGCCCTAATGTAACCTATGACCCTACTTACCGTATTGTCTTAGGACAATATTTACATGAGAAATTTGACTACTCTAATACCCGTTAATGCAATCATATATAACACTATTAAACTAAAAAAAGATTCTGCTGTAAAATGTCAATCTATGCAGTTACGGCGTATTAAAATTGGACTATCAATATTTTGTTTTTAAGTTGTATAAAAATAAATGTTTTTGGGACAACCAGTAACACAAACGCAACGCTTAATCAGTAATTAGCAATGATCGACTGCACTCCCATCGAGAGTAATGCAAACAATGTGTTACAATTCTAATCCGCGATCAATTAACATTAGTATGGTAATGCGTGTAACGTGTAACTTACCGTAGCGACTAAGGTGACATAATACCGTTGAGTTTTTTCGAAATCCAGCGTCCTGTTGACAGTCACTTGTCCTTGATGCGGCAAATTAATGGCGAAATACCCATAGCCGTCTTCGCTGTGAATCCGCCTTTTTCCTATACCGTCGTCGTCTGGTGGCAAGTGATCGGCTGTAAAGAATAACAAATCATCGTCAAAAAGAAAAAAAAAAAAGGATTTTCCTATTAACATTCCCCTAAATTCGACTAAAATTATATTATCTCCCCTTATATACAATTCCTCCATGATCTATTGATGCACGAATCTTATACGGATGCGTACTAATACGCCTCATAGTACAAAATGTATTTCGCGTCAGTATTTGGTGAGCGTGGAGACCTTTCGCTCTCTAAAAATATAAAAAGTCAACGATTTTCGAAATTTTGCGTATATATACAATGCTTATTTTTTCATGTTAGGCATACGACTAGTATACAAGTTAATAAAATGGCAACAGGGCAACAGATAGTCGTCGACAAGAATTAGAAGATATGGTGATGGGATATTAGCCGAACTGAGAGCATAGCGATAGCGGGGACATCGTAGTTGTCACATGTTCGCTGTAAAAGCACGACTATGCCTAATATAAAATAATAAGTACTGTACATACTATTTTGTAAAGAATATTGAATATCCCTATTATTTCCTGCATGTTTACATACTTTAACACGTAACTATTCTCTCCATTCGCATTTCCGAAAACATACGGTCCCTCAAACGGACACTAAAACTTCGCAAACACTTTTCTTTTCTTATTTGTCACTCTTAAGGCCCTAACTATGACTCAATCTCTCTTTTTAATTTCGTTATTTTTTGTCTTATCACTCATTCTTTTAATGTATTTCTTTTTATCCTCATATTCCCTCTTTCTATAATTTCCTCATACTTCTGTTCATTTTTAAATACTTTTTTAACTCTATTCTGATTTTTTCCTGCAATTGTGCTTGGAATATTATTTAAACACATTTCTACTTCTTTAATGTTATTTTTACAACTTGTATTAATATTTTCAAAACTAATTTAAACTCAAATTACTTGTTTTATACTCATTTTGCCATTACTGTACCACATATCTTACATTCACTTTTTCTTACCCTTTTATCAGTATTATTTAACTATTTAACTATATTCTATTGTATGTATCTACTTGACTTCCGATTAATTTCTAATTTCCAGATTTTCATCCTCCATCTAAATTTTATTGCTGTTCTTTCACCTTTATTATATTATTACTTTTTCCTTTTCTGTCAACCCACGATTCTTAATTCATCTCTATCTATTCTATTTTTCCTTCCATTCTCGCTTGTCATCTGTTATACATATAATTTTTATTAAGCTATTGCATAGCTTTTATCCCGGGCTTTGAGCGCGGCGACCGAATCAAGAAATTCCGTAACGAATATAAACACCCCCACTTCGACCGGCACAGCGGTGCGGCGTTGAATGCCGTGGAAGGTTTTATCCGACCCTATTCGTATTAGTATGAAGCAGAGTTAAATATACGTCTGCGGACTGGAACGTTTATGCAATACAAGAACTAAAAGTGCTTTCTCTGGATTCTAATAAATTGGTATCACAAATGTTCCCGGTTGGCGTAAATATTAGACATTAATTTTTTTGCAAGATTTATAAAATATTAATTTTTATTTTATCAGTGTTAACTATTTCATTATTAAGCTATTGCATAGATTTTACGATTTTTGGATTTTTCGATTTATAGATTTTTCAATTTATAGATTTTTCAATTTTTCGATTTTTCGATTTTTTGATTTTTCGATTTTTCGATTTTTCGATTTTTCGATTTTTCGATTTTTCGACGATTTTTCGATTTTTCGATTTTTCGATTTTTCGATTTTTCGATTTTTCGATTTTTCGATTTTTCGATTTTTCGATTTTTCGATTTTTCGATTTTTCGATTTTTCGATTTTTCGATTTTTCGATTTTTCGATTTTTCGATTTTTCGATTTTTCGATTTTTCGATTTTTCGATTTTTCGATTTTTCGATTTTTCGATTTTTCGATTTTTCGATTTTTCGATTTTTCGATTTTTCGATTTTTCGATTTTTCGATTTTTCGATTTTTCGATTTTTCGATTTTTCGATTTTTCGATTTTTCGATTTTTCGATTTTTCGATTTTTCGATTTTTCGATTTTTCGATTTTTCGATTTTTCGATTTTTCGATTTTTCGATTTTTCGATTTTTCGATTTTTCGATTTTTCGATTTTTCGATTTTTCGATTTTTCGATTTTTCGATTTTTCGATTTTTCGATTTTTCGATTTTTCGATTTTTCGATTTTTCGATTTTTCGATTTTTCGATTTTTCGATTTTTCGATTTTTCGATTTTTCGATTTTTCGATTTTTCGATTTTTCGATTTTTCGATTTTTCGATTTTTCGATTTTTCGATTTTTCGATTTTTCGATTTTTCGATTTTTCGATTTTTCGATTTTTCGATTTTTCGATTTTTCGATTTTTCGATTTTTCGATTTTTCGATTTTTCGATTTTTCGATTTTTCGATTTTTCGATTTTTCGATTTTTCGATTTTTCGATTTTTCGATTTTTCGATTTTTCGATTTTTCGATTTTTCGATTTTTCGATTTTTCGATTTTTCGATTTTTCGATTTTTCGATTTTTCGATTTTTCGATTTTTCGATTTTTCGATTTTTCGATTTTTCGATTTTTCGATTTTTCGATTTTTCGATTTTTCGATTTTTCGATTTTTCGATTTTTCGATTTTTCGATTTTTCGATTTTTCGATTTTTCGATTTTTCGATTTTTCGATTTTTCGATTTTTCGATTTTTCGATTTTTCGATTTTTCGATTTTTCGATTTTTCGATTTTTCGAAAAATCGAAAAATCGAAAAATCGAAAAAATAATTCCGTAACGAAAATGAACCTAACACCCCCCACTCCGACCGTCGTTTCAGTTCGGCAGACTTCGGCACGGTGTTTGTGTGCGTGCGACTAGACGTATGCGTGTAGACTAGCTGTTAACTGCTCATAACTGATTCTATCTCTTTTAGACACAATTTCGGAAAAATTAAATTTGAAAATGAATAATGATCCACAAGAATCCCCAACAAAATATAGGACCACCATTGACGCGGTATTTTCCAGATATTTAGAGGATATAAAGTCTCAAACTCATGTTTCTTATTTCAGTTACCATAAATCTATAGTTTCAATGATAAAAATTCCTGAATAAGCTACATGTATTGTAAGATAATAAAAATATTTTAAACAATATTAACTTCTCATTTATTCGATAAAAGAAAAAATTTGTTTTCTTATCGGTCACCACGCTCAAAAAGTGTAACTTGAATTAATATCAAAGAAAAAACTTGAACTAATATCAAAGAAAAAAAAAATACTGCATAAATAAAATAAATAAATAATTATAATTGCATAAGTTGATAAAAAATGCTATGCAATAGCTCTACCGCGGCAGTCCCCGAGTGCCACATTTTTTTTTTTTTTTTTTTTTTAATTTACTATTCTATTATTTCTTTCTCTGTATCTGTATCTATTTAAATTTTACTCTAGATTTATTTTTACTTATTATACCTTTATGTTTCTTTTTCCTGGTTTTCTTTTTTATTTTATCTTGTCTTTTTTCTTTGTAATTTGTTGTCGGTTTTTCTTCATTTTATTTCTCTTTCTTCTTTAATTTTCATTTTCCTTTTATTTTCTTTATTCCTATTTATATATTCCATATTTTGACTTTGTCTTTCTTAATTTGCTTATTTTTCTTCCATTTCTATTTCTACCTCTTCTATTTAATTTGTCTCTCCTTAATTTATTTCTATTCTTTCTTCTAACTTTTCACTTTCTCAATATTATTATCTAGAACTTCTATTTTCTAACTTAATGTTTGTTATCCAGTCTAAATCCTTGGATTTCTTCCTTTATGTTGTCCATCTTATTTCCCATTGCCTCTTCATTATGTTTAATCTATTCCCCTATTTTCTGTTCCATTTGTCTTATATTATCATTAATTTCCTCTTTTATCTGTCTCATATCCTCATTAATTTTTCCTTCCGTTTGTCCTATATTCTCATTATTCTCATTATTTTCTCCTCTCGTTCCAATGCGTACTTGCATTAGGTCCTCCATCTTTATTTCTTCATTCTGTTGATCTTCTATAACTGTCTTATAAATTTTGCTTACTCTGTACATTCGTATCTGTAAGATATAAGGTGGGTTAAATCACGGCACATAGGCCCATTGTGCATCTTTCTAAGTTAATAGGCACCTCTTAACTCGTGAGCAAGCCTACATATTTGATGTAGTTGACAACGTCGTCAAGAGGTTGTCAACTACATCCCTATCTCGTTTTTTATTATTTTCTCATGTTCTTTCAGCAACCCAGTTGTCTTTCCCCCTCTTAAATCTATTTACTCTATTACGAAATCTCACACACACTATTGATAGATACTACATATCTTAATATAATCACACACTACATACATTTGTAGATCTACTGAAATTTGCCCAATATATAGGTACCCAAAACAACAATTTAAACATAAAATATCTTACCAAATTTCCAAATATCCCAATCTCTACTTAATTTTTTTTTAATTAGACCTAGGTTGGGCGTCACTTGATATGGAAACCTCCACTCAGGGTATTTATGATCTCCAATCAAAATAACATCAGTTCACTTTCTTTCATTTGATTTTCATGGTTACGACGGACCGTACCCGAAAATTTAACACTGGTGAACGAATGAAGGATAATAGAAATGTATTCTAGTACAATTAGATTGTCGTCCTTTGTACACGATGGCACAGGGGTGGCATGTATTTTTCATAATTTGGTAGGGGGAATTGGTGATTTTTCATTTTCATATTTCCAAAATTGAAATACCATTTTGTTCAGCTCTTAGAGAGAAATCAATGTCGCCAACTGCATTTTCCTGTCGCAAACGATTTCCGAGTAATATAACAAAACCCCTGACTTTTCTGTTAAAATTTCCCAAATTTGACCTAAAAATCTTATTCTCTGCCCTTACAAATAATTCATCCGAGAATTGAATGTAGTAAATCATAAGTTCATAGCTAATAAATCATATATTATAGTTATCCTTGGCAAATTGCAAATTTGACAGTTATTTCATAATATACCTACTTATTAGGAATAACACGAATATATTGTTAAAACGTATTGTAATTCCTACAATTATAAAGTTTATTATTATTGTAGATAACAGCTATGAGTAATACCGAGAAAATGTAGCGTATTTAATAAATAATTTATTTACCTTTTACAATTGAATATTCAACAAGTCCGTTAACTCCTGTGTCTTTGTCTTTAGCCACAATATTTTGGAATATTGTCGTACCTACGGGTGTCAACTGTAATTAAAAAAATATATATTATTACTTCTCTTGAATTTCAAATTACTGTGCATTTTATTTAACATGAAGTCAAAGTCCTATTAAAACAAAAATTAAAAGCACACTTACCTCTGAGATGGTGGTTTCATATGGCGTATTAATGAATTGAGGGGCATTATCATTAATGTCAGTCAGTCTTACGATTACAGGAATAGTCTTCTTTTTGTGAGTCGATTTTACAGTACAAATTAACTGAAAAAAAAAAAAAAGAAAATATATGATAAATAATTAAGTGGTATTAATACGTTTTTACTAAATCTGGCAACAGTGTAACGCCAGATGTTTACCGGTAAATACCATATATGACGAATTCGAATAAGAAAATAAAAACTGTTTTTTCCACGGTGTGAAAAAAAGCGTGAAAAAACGTGAAAATGAATGACAATATTAAAAAAAAAGAAAATAAACGAAGAGTGGAAGTACATTTTTTTAAAATTTGTGTTTAATTTTATAATGTTCTTCAGTAAGTGCCATCGTTTTGTCCTGTAAAAAGTTCAAAGCAGCTTACGATTAAATAAGAAAAATTGGAATTGTACAAATGGACATTGAAAATATAAGTATTAATTTGACACTTTAATGTTGTGTTTACAGGAGAGTTAAAAAATTAAAACTGCTTTATTCTACATAATTAAAAACCACATTATAAAGATAAATGCTTATTTTGTTACCATTTCTAAACAATCTCCTACATGAATGGATGTCCTAATTACTATAAAATGTTTGTACTTATATGAATTACACTTACATATTGTTAAAATGGTAGGAACAATAATTTAATCTCTAAATTCTTAATTACATTCATGCATAAGTATTTACGGTTTATTATAAAGGGTGTCCAGAAACTCTTTTCAAAGAAAAAAAGGCAAAATTTAGAGCTTATTTTATGTCGATTTAACCTAAATTACCTTAATTCAAAAATATTTCCCTAAGGAAGCTACAGCTCTTTGTTATAAAGGTTGTATGGATTCGCCAAAACTATTTATAATAAAAGAAATTATAATTTTTATTTCAGTATCCGCTCCGTGCGTGACCGCAGCGCCAATTTACTTTTGTACTAATGGACTATTTTTGCCTATACTGACAATACAATTTTTAATAGAATTCGTAATTAAAAAATATTTATGTTAGTTTTAATAAGAGTATATGGGTTTGTAAAACAAGTAATACATTAATTTATTATTATTATTATTATTATATATTTTTATCACTTAAACTAAAAAAATGAGTATACAATAAAAATCAATAATAAAATAAAGGCAGGTAACAGTATTTACGGGAAAATGTATGAGAAGTTGCCCAAGTTAATAAGTTGTCTTTGAAGAATTAATCTATTATGTCAAAATAAAAAATATCTTTAACTAATTAGCTTGAAGTTAAAATGTATAAAGAGAAGGATTGTTATTTATATTTTCAATTTTGTTCGAAAGAAAACATAGAATAAATGATTAAAACTGGTTTTTAACAGTAAGTCACAAAATTGCATTCCTGCCACATACAATAATCAAAGACAGAAATCTAGTTCTTGCTGCATGAACATTTAAGAACATTTATTTCTTTTATTTAATTTCCACTTTGCTACTGAATTTTTTTATAATATACACTGTTTTTTTTGCTAGTATTTTTACAATTTTCAACACAGCAACTCCGGTTGCTTATTGTATTGTTTTTACCTACTTTTAAGAAAAAAAGTAAAATGTATACATACATTTGATATGCTAAAATTACAAAACATCGCCCTAAAATGCACGAATTATCCGCAGTTAGCGCTTTTGCTTACCCTACCATGACTTCGCACTGAGCGAATAATTAGTATAAAACTTCAAACAAACAGAAACCAACAAAATAAATACGAGTATGTAGACTGTATGAAATATGAAATTTAAAAATATAAAAAATGCTAAAACTAATTTTAAAATGTATGTTAAATCTAAAATGAGTTTTTGATTTTAAGGTTTTTTTTCTTTGAAGAGAATTTCTGGACACACATATACGCAGATGATTGTTTTCGATATGTTTGTTAACTATAACTTTTACTACTTTAATATTGTACAAAATATGTTATAATTTAAAACGAATTAAACAACCGAGCAATGAATGGTGCTTGTTGTTTAACATCTGACATTTCATTTTTAACTCTGACATTATATTAGGCATTCCTATGAAAAATAGAGAGAAGGAGGTGAATTGACAATGAACAAATTTTAAATTTCCCTCCTTCTTTTTATAAAGTTTGCCAAATTGACTGTAGTTGGCGGGTCAAACGTTAGTAACGTTAATTTTCTATGTAAGTTAATGTAAATAAAGTGTGTTTTTTTAAATTGGTAAAAATAATAAAAAGAATGTGAAAAAAATACCTGACATGAGACAAAAAACATCAAAGCAAGATTTACTTCGTTCCGGGTTATAAAACGGTATATAAATCGGATGTAAAACAAAAGAAAACACAAGGAGAAATCATTCAAAGTTCTTTTAAAGCAAGTAAAGTAATTTATTTATTTCTAAATATAATATTTATTCTGAACTAGTCGAAATCCGTATTTTATAGTGTTTTTTTGCTTTGTATGACTACGAACATTCAGTTCGTTCGCCTATTTTGCCGATTTTGTCGATTTTGCTCATTTTTTACATTTACAAGTTCTACAAATATTACCTATTTATACATATATATTTTTTAATTATATATTATGCAATGCTTTTCTCTGATATATCTCTCGACTTACGTTGCCATTTAAAAAATCAAGATGGCGGCGTTACGCTAAATGCTGACGTCATATATATTTGACATGATTAAAAAAAAAAGCAAAATACTCTACAATTTCATAATTGTACATTCATTTATTCATTCATTTAAAAAAAAAATACCTTGTAGCCAGAAAAACCATTTTTATGCATTTTTGTTTTAAAATTTTTATTCTTCCACGTGGTAGGTTTCTCAAATAAGTGATTAATTTAAAATATAAATGTTCCACAACCATTTCTCCTATGATATTTTTTATTTCACATTTTATAAGTAAAATAATAATAATTTGTATATTTTAAATTACTAACACTTTTAGCCAGGTCCACTCTGACAATTAATCAGAAACATATAATAAACCTGTCAAACGATTGACCAGATATTGAACTTAGATGCAATTTGATGTTGAAACGCGAAACATGTTATGCTTCGTCTATCTTATAATAGTTAAAGAGGTACATCATTTACTAATGACCTCTGGTGAAATTTTTAAAACTACGTACATTTTAGCGCTATAACTTTTTTATTTTTATATGCATAATAATATGAGACTTACTTTTAATTATTTGATCAGTTGAATTGAAGACCAGTTGCTCAAGTGTGCCAATTGATACTTTGACCTTGTTTTATTGTAATAATAATAATAATAATAATTATTTTCACATTTTTTAATTAATTAATAACTAAAAGTGCCCTCTAGAGATGATGCTCGTTGGATAGGTAAAGCTCATTATTATTTGCAATATAGGAAGGTTGATCATTTTAATAATCCGTTCTAGATGCAGATAACCCACTTGCGAAGTTATAATAGAAAGAATATGAATTTATGATAATACTATCGTATATATTAATAATAATATAATAGAGAAATAAAACAATAAAAAAGTTTTTTTGTTTTTTCGTATTAAAATATTAACTAACTCCATCCGAGATATTTTAACTCATTAAAACTATTATTATACTATAATGAGTTGTAGTCTTTTGTTCTACTTTTACTAGGCATATCAAGGATTTTATTGTGAAATTTTACATTTTATGAAGAATTTTTTAGCTAATTTCACTTAATTATGTACGCACAAGTTGAGGTCTAGGGTAATGGACGTTGTTCATGAAATATATTAGTATACTTAGACATACCCGAGATGATTCTTAAAAAAAGTTGTAATGTAAACAATAACTGGTTGGTATTTTGATGTCCGATAGGTATAATGAATTATTGTATGTATTGTAATTAATATTGACTGAACGAGTGCATAGTGAATGCTGATTATTTGGTGTTCTTCCAATATCTTTGTATTTTAAACATGTACAAAAGAGATCTTAATCTTTTAACCATTATATTTGGATACCCTATTTTAGACGTCCAGGTGCTTACCATGTTCAGCGACCAAGAAGCAAGAAGATTTACGAAATGGGAGCTCTATAAAAATTGAGTTATTTTGAGGAATATTGCATACTTTTTGTTTAGAATTTTTCGATGTTAATACTTTTTAGAAAGAAACTTTTTGAGGCACACTGTTATAATTATAGCTCCAGTTCATCTTCCTGTATAAAAGTCAATGTCTGGACCGACGATTATAGTAAACCCCCCTGCATGTGTTAGAAATGACTTTATATTCGCTCTAATGTAACTGGGGTAATAATATTTATGATTGAATTATTATGTTTTTCCATTATCATGTTTTCGAACCATTTGACCCTGTCCTTTGGAGGGCATACGTGTGGTCGTGCATCCAACACGTGGATGTCCTTTAGTAAGGGATACATATGACGGATAAAATTATTGACTGCATCATATGATATTATATTACCAAGAAGTAATAATTACTATTATTTGCCTGTAACAAGCACCACAATAACAGAATTTAAGCACTGGTCTATCATGCAATTGGTTACATTTAGAATGATATAACTCGAACCGGACAAGTAAATGAGATACATCGTAATGAAAATAAATATTCTTCTTAAAAAGACCTTTGAATTGGTATATCCTTATTGGTGGTGGGGGCAATTTCCCATACATTTCTGTGCATTGTCCTTAAATCTTATCAAATACACAAACTATTAAAAATTTGTCACGTGTTTACTAAATTAGAATTTAGAAATAGGTTGTTATCTTATTATTTGTTAAAAAAATAAATTATTAAAAAACATTATTGTATTCTAATATTTTGTTAAGTTTATTAATTTTTGATAAACACTAGTTCGTACAATGTGTCCAAATATTCCTGTTACTCTTTAGATTGTGTTAATCCATCATCATCTTTATCACCTATAATAATTACACTGTCTTCTTAAGGTATTGAATGAAAGAAGTGAGCTAGCGCGCTTGTAAATTCCTATTTTTTAATAACATGTATGACCATAGTTTAAAGAGACCGAAGATGTAACATTGCACACTGCGCATGTTGTCTGTTTTAACCCCACGTAACCCACCAATTGAAAATCATTGTTT